ACGGGCTCTGGGACGGTCGGACGTAGCTCGGACGAGCTCTGGGATGGGCTCTGGGACGGGCGGACGAGCTCTGGGATGGGTCTGGATGGGCTGTGGGATGGGTCCGGATGGGGTCTGGGACGGGCGGACGGGCTCTGGGATGGGTCCGGATGCGCGTACGAGCTCCGGGGCGCGTCAGGATCAATTTCCTTTACGAACGGCGAGGCCGTAATTTCTTATCACAGGGCTCCGGACGCCATCCCACGATGTTATTGAGAACGGTGTCTGACTCCGGTTTAGCTGACTGGGGTGACGACTGACACCGTGACGCATATGATCCAAGAATGAATTAGTACAGAACAACTCTTGCCCCCCCCCCAAAAAAAAACGTGTATGTGATTAAATATATATATAACACAATAGGCGGACTACTAGTATCTCCTCATCAAGTGAGCAAATTAACCACAACTGATCATTTTTGTACAAATAGGTATTCCAACCAATTTTAAATACATAATACAGAGATGATTCTTACAGATTCTGGAAGAGCTAAGGTGAGTAAAATGGTTTTTAATCTTAATCTTATTTATTAATAATATGTACTACATTGAGTCACATCAGAGAGTTCTGGACTTTCACAACATTTTATTACGATTATGCCAGGTCAAACGTTGCAACTGGCGTTTTAGCACAAGTTGCGGTACTAATGTACTTTCTCAATATCGTCAGAGGATCCGCCTACAGACACGGGCTAATAATGAATAATGAAGGTTCGTAAAGAAAATGTTTAATGCATTAAATAAGTAATAAAAATGCTTGAGGTCGTTGTACTTAACTACTTTGTTGGATCAAAAAACTACCTACACTTGGTACAACCAGATGGTGTTGAGAAAGCATTTTTCACACAAGTCTGTCTGAACAAATCTACAGTTTCAAGTTTCATCTATCGAAGTCCACATATTCTATTCTATTCCAATCAGAGGAGTTTGTCTTCTGATTAAATTTGAAAATAAGGGAATATAAAAGAGAGAGAACGGCGAAGCCAATCAATGGGCACGATGGTCAGATTTGGGCCCAAAAGTCCCACTCCGCTACTATGGAGTTCGAATCCCCCGAACCCGCGAATCTTGTTCGATATGACGTCATTCGAATAGAGCGGGCGTTCGATCCGGGGTTACCCGCGGTCATTTACAGTAAAGCCGCTACAACCGGCTACTTCAAGCCCTTTCTTACTTGGGAACCACGGAACAGGAAAAATCCACATTTCCACAAATATGAACCGTTTTCAAAACATTACATCTATGCCGTGATTTTATTGTGGATATGTAACATGTAACGAAGCTACTGCCGTCATCGTGGGTGACCTTGAATGTCAGAATTCTTGTATACGCTGTTATAAAATCCAGGTCCCCATATCCAAGTGTCATAGCACGCGTGCAAACATGGTATTTTAACCATTCCCAAAAATCGTTCAAATTACCTCATTGAGGGCTTGTTTGGAAGAGGAACGATTTCCGCAGATTTCTGTCTTAGGGATTTTTTAAATATGGCCGCGATTATGAATTATCGGTATTTAAAGTTAAAACACTGCGTTTTTAGCTCTTCTTTTGACTGTAAGTCGAGTTTTAGTTAAAAAATAAAAAAATCCTAAGACAGAAAGTTTAAATGTACTGTAATATTTCTAAAAATCCAACAATCTAACCTTATTTTTAATTTTCGGGACCTCTTAAAATCAGTTGTTTGGTTCTCGTGAACCCTTTTTGAAATCCGAAATTGATCTCATTTGGAAGCAAATGTACACAAAGTGGAGCAAAGGCAGTGCAAGAATAACATTTGAGGTAAACAAAATCACTTATTACATTTTATTTTGACGAGTATTTACTCTCCAATTACTTTTGTTTATTTTCAAATTTTACCAGTTGCCCCCGGGCCGGCCTGGGACTCCCGCGCGGCAACCGACCGCCGTGGGGAAAGAACTACCTATAAGGCAATGATCTTCTTCAGAGAGATATGATCTTATTTATAACAGCCAGTGGATCAGCTAGCCAGCGACGACTGGCAAACGAAGATGAACGCAACTAAAATGAACAACACGCCGAATAATGAAGATTAGTAAAGAAAATTTTGTTTTTAATGCATTAAATAAATAATAAAAATGCTTAAGGTCGTTGTACTTTGTTGGATCAAAAACCTACCTACACTTGGTACAACCAGATGGTGTTGAGAAAGCATTTTTCACACAAGTCTGTCTGAACAAATCTACAGTTTCAAGTTTCATCTATCGAAGTCCACATTCTATTCTATTCTATTCTATTCTATACCAACGGGCAACCGTCTCCGCGTGATCAACAAGCGGTGCAGCCACGTCAGGAAAAAAAAAGACGTTTACTCAACATGCTGCCTTTTTCACGTCGTTTCTGATGTGGCGGCACCGCTTGTTAATCAGGGAGATGATTGCCCGCCGGAAGCGCTGGTCCCCTGCTGATTTCTTGGTTTTCTCCGCAACCCACTCTGTGTTAAAACAAGACAAAAGGTTATAATGCGGTAAGCACGAATCTTTTTCCTTCCCCGACAGAGTCGGTATAGATATCAGGCAATATATTTTTGCGGGAATCATTATCATATTTGACAGTGTTCCAAGCTAGTCTATTTGTCACTTTCCAATCTGAAGACTGCAAATTGACTGGGTTATTGTCTCACCAATGATCGCCTCGACCTTGTTCCGGTCGAGCGCTGTCCTCCCGTTTTCTCCCATGGCGTTGTTGTCGGCCAACTCTTGCCGGGAGAACAGCGCTCCGAGTAGTTTGCTAACAGAGGTGGCGGCCGTTTGGTCGTCACTCGTTGGCAGTACCATCTCTACCCTTGCAAGCACATCCGCCTCAAGGAACACGCGGCGGTTTGGGTCGCCGACCGGAACTGGAAGTGCAAAAGTATGATTTAAGATTAAGTTTTCTTGCCAGACCAGCGAAGGAAGGACACAGGATGACAATGATGGTCTGACAGATACAAGAGATTTTAACAGCTGACTGCGGCAAATAGTCCCTCATCAGGAAAAATATAAGCTGGACATCACAAAATTAACAGAAAATACATGTAGGTCATTTTTTTTAGCTTTGTTGTAATAATTAGGAGTTAACTGTTAATAAACAGGAATAAATTTGACAACATATTAAAATTCTTACCCATCTCTGCTTGGCTGGACGACGTGGGCGCGGACGGTGGTGTCAGCTGGGGTGTCCGTTGGAACCCGGCCTCGAAGGTAGGCCAGGTAGCAGGTGAGGCGCCGTGGCCTTGGGAGGTGGAGAGCTGCTGCCAGCTCGCGTTTGGCGACTGCTGCCAGCTCGCGTTTGGCGACTGCTGCCAGCTCGCGTTTGGCGACTGCTGCCAGCTCGCGTTTGGCGACTGCTGCCAGCTCGCGTTTGGCGACTGCTGCCAGCTCGCGTTTGGCGACTGCTGCCAGCTCGATCCTGGTGGCTGCTGCCAGTTCGATCCTGGTGGCTGCTGCCAGCTCGATCCTGGTGGCTGCTGCCAGCCCTCCACACACTTCATAGCGGTGCTGATGACCTCGCCCCCACCGGGGCCACTCGAGGGGTCCTGGGGCTTGCTTGCCATCTCCTGTGTAAAATACAATTAACGATATTTTGAGATGATGTCAAGGGTTGGTCAAGGTTAATAAAAACAATACAAGAAGTAGCTGTCATGTGTCATAATGGCTGTCATTTAGAACAGACACACACACACACACACACACACAACACACTAGTCAGACGCACACACAACGGACTTACTTTGCTCCTGTCCTTGGACCTCCTTGTCAGGAGCGCCACCACTGTGACAAAGTTGGGCTTCCATCCTATCCAATCGCTGCTCCACCGGCCTAAAGGAGTCCTATCATGGGTGATAAAATGACCTTGAGTTTTATGAAGAATATTATATTTCTATTTAATCATTTTACCCTGCGAGTCTGTGCATAATAAATTACATGTTACACATTTCTGAATCCAATACATATGTATATATTAGGATCACCTACGTAGACTGCCACAAAAAAAGAATACTTTTGGGAAACGAAAACTGATGTATTGCAGCTAAAGGAAGACTTACCTTAATCACATCATCTATCCCGGCAGCAATCTGTAATGATAAATCATACAAATATCACACCCTTGTAAAGAAATCATACATGTATTTTAACACTATCACCAACATTAACAAAAATTTTTTGCACACTTAATTCTTACACCAAACGCGGAGTCGTTACAAAAGGGTGGAAATCTTTGTCACGTGCCAATGGTTGCTAAAATTGTTAGCACCTGACACTCTAGACTATTAAAACCAACATTGTGATGTTATACTAAGCATCCCGCTTCCCCTCACTGCCGTTGACACTTCCTCAAACAATCCCACACTGTAGATGGCACAGTCCTTTCTTTGGCCCGCTGTAAAGGTTCTTGAATGCTACCGAAAATGCGACCCCAAAGGTGTGAGGCATTTCTATTACTGCAGGTTTTTTGGGTCATTTTGGCGGTTGAACGTTCTATCGCAATGTGCCCTAATGCCGATCTAGTATCAAACACAGGTCGATCTGAGAAGTTTAGAAATTATAATACACAAATTATGACTAAAACAATCTACTGTTTTTCTGTCCCCAACAAGTCCTCTTTTTACGATTACGCGACCTGCTCCAATACGGTTTTTTGAAAAACAAAACCTGCATTTTTGACCCGCTCGTCAACCCCCGAACAAGCGTCGAATTCAAACAGATTTTTCACTCGTCTGTTGTCGGAGTGTACGAAATAAAACAAACTTTGTGAGATTACCGATATCAACACAAAAACTTTGTCCATTCCTGTGGTTATTTATAGGCAAGTGCTTCCATGCATAACGCCGCAACAAGGATTTTTCAAAGTACTAGTAGTACGGAACTAGGGGTATGTCGGAATTAGGGTAGCCTGTGTTACACAAGCTCTCGGCCGGAGGTTAATGACCCCCGCAACTTCAGGGCGGATGGCCGCTAGGAGCGCGATTAGTCAGGCTAGGAATTAGGGCACCCCTCATTACCCCTGTGGGGATAACGAAATACGCGATGATGATACAAGGACAGGCAGACTGCAGGACACTGAACTAGGGTGCTTATTTCTGCACTTTAGAAGGTCCATACTGAGATCGTATCGCTGCCTGCATTATTACGTACAGATGATTAGGGTTTAAAAAAATTACAGTCCGAAATGCTGTCATAAACTCATAGCAATGTATTTTATTTAAAGGAAAAGAGAAAAAAACATTTTCAAGAAGACAAAATTAAAGAGACAACATACCGACTTGTCCCCCCCAACAGATCTAGATGCCATCTCTGTCCTCTTGACCTGCAGAGAAGACGCCAAAAAAATTAGACTATTGCAAAATAACCCTTCCATCTACCTAGCTTTAGAGCTCTTAAATCATACATGATACCCAAGCTACTGACAAGTTAGTTACATCCGACAGGAATAAACGTCCAAGCTCTTCTGAGAGTCTAATTGTCTCCTGTGTGGATTTTCTGGGTGTGGTCGTTCCTTATTGTGCAATAGAAAAACACACCTGATATGAATATTGCTGTATGCATACCAACATTACGTTACAGATAGAAAGACTTTGCAGAAGAGGAGGAAAGTAACATACCGGGGCATTCTTCTCAGGTGTCTCTATTGTGGCGAGATATGCGAGGATCTCCGCCGTTTCCTTGTCTTCTTGTTCCCCCAGGGCAGCGGCTTTCCTCCTCTTTTCACCGTTAAGTGTTTCACACTGAAAGCAGAAGAGAAAGGTATGTGTAATAAACGACAATAGTTGTGAAAAATCAACATGGGCTAATCTCTGATGTAATTAAAGTGATTCAGTATTGTCGGCGTAGATTTTGTGCTCTAGCACTAAAACAAGTCTTGACTAACTTACTAGGTACTAAATATTGTAAAGATATAGATTTCTACCCTTTTTCAACTATTATGGCACCAAGAGTAAATCAATCAATCAAATTCGACATTCTGAAAGACCTATTACTTGCCATTGATGTATATCATTATTTTTGGTCATGCCATACTAAAAGAGTCATTCTTTCATTTACTAGTAGAAGCAATTTTTAATTCTGTTTAAATGTGACATATGATTTTGATGTACATGTACCTGCTTTGTACCAAAGACCAACAGGTCTGTGTCTTCTGTGATCACGTAATCTGCTGTCCCACTTATACTCATCAGGGCAAGTTGTGGGTCCGCCTCGTACGGTGCTACCACGTAATCGACTCCTCTGTTTTTCAATGCCTGAAAACAAGAATACATGTTTCACCATGTTTTGAATGCTAAATGTATGCCTGGCCCTATTTGACCTAACAAATATTAATGGCATTAAATGGAATGCTGACCTTGATAACATTGTCGACCATGTCAGGGGCCACTCCCACGGCGCTGCAGAAATGTCGCCTTGCATCCGCCGCATTACCTCTTCCCTGAGAGATGGCGAGTAAAGCATTCATCTTGGCTGTAGACCGAATCCTATATGAAGACAAGATTATTAGGTCAAACATTTCTAAACAAAGTAAACCGAGGAGTTCAGGGTGGCATGTCTGAAACAGGACAACTTTGGAGTGACAGTACACAAGACTAAACAAGAACACACAATGATTCCCCAAGGTGTATTAATTCTGTTAGTTGAATGCAGATGAGTAATTTTGATACAAGAAAGGAACTTACTGTCTCCTCTCTGCTGCCACTTCAGCCTTTGCTGGCAACGGGTTTGGGCCATCAAACACGACCAGTGGTGTGATCCCTTTTTTGAGCAGAGTCTCAATGTTGTTCATAAAGAACCTGATGTAGCTGAAAGTAAAAAAAACAAGTATGCATATATAGTTCTATCCAACCTGGATAATAACAATAACGTAATATGTATATTATCAACATTGTTACAAAAACACAATTGATATAAAGGGGCATGAAAGACACACCCTGGTCTTTGCTAACTCAAGTACTATCAGCAGGATTGCCCCAAAATGTACACGTTGCTTAACTACTTGTTACACTGATAACATAAGCCTCTAGCAGCCTAAATGGATAAAGGATATGCCAGAATTTACAGCACTGTTGCAGATTTTGAATATCAAAGAAAATATTCAAGTCAAAAGAAAGTAGCAACATGCATTAGATAAATGGATGTTGCTGACACTCAGAGCCTTTGGTACATATACTACCCACCTGTCAGTGTGTTGTTGCAGGAACAACTCTTTCGCACACGCATATATACCCTTGTGGAGCCAGCCGGACCCATCAATGGCAACTATAGACCCAGCCATATCTTCAATGGTGATGGATTCTGCTGATCTGGCAAGGTCTGGCAGAAGTCCTTTAATGCCCATCCTGATGCAAAATGTTTCAGAAAATGCAGTTGTAATAAATATAGATGGTTGATGGACATATTGAAGCCATATGTAACAAGCATATTTATAAATTTGCATATAACACACAAGTGTCAGTGGTGGTGTTCAAGATTATACATATAGATAGTACGCACTCAAAGACAGGTTGTGGAAAGGTGCAAGTTCAGTGTATGCATATTCATAAATTTGTGTATAACACACAAGTGTAGGTGGTGGTGTTCATGAATATACATATAGACACAAATCATTATTTACACATTTCAGATACAGGTTGTGGACAGTTTCAAATTCTATTAAGAAGGAAAAATATTTATACCCCTTCTTGGAGAAACATGAATGTCTTAGCTTGTATGTAGCCCTACACACTCTCAAAAATGTTATATGCATATTTATTCTGAAACCTGTAAGTGTAAACAACACACAAGCGTATGTGATGTTAGTCATAATAGACTATTGACGCATTTCAAAGACAAGCTGTGAAGAGTTGCAACAGAAGTTCAAAATTGTCAAATATTACCTAGAGAAACCATTATGTTCCTTCTTAGAGAAACTGGCAATGCATTACTTGTTGTTTAGGCGTATTTACCACCCCACAACCTTCGCTAAAAATGTACATAATTTAGCGCTTTAGACACATGGGCTTGCCGCCCCCCTCCCCCTCAATATACGCAACGAAAACACGCAAATGTAAACCTCTAGACATAACTGAGGCTTCCCATATATCAGAAAACAACGTCTATAATTTATATTTCCGAGCACTACGAGGCAAAAAAATGCCTGAATTACCCCTACAACTTTGCGCGAAAACGTTTACCCTGTCCACAGTGCACGGGGAGGTCGGGTTGTTAGCGTTTGGCTTACGGAATGATATCATACTTTTGTCGGGTTTTCAGTACAGTTAATCCCGATATTACAGCCGACACAAATCCACAAAGTCGGCCTTGTCCATGGAATACGGCTGTCGTTTTCCCGGCCGTCTTCCGATACATTTTGGAACAATGTCGGATAAGTATCAGTGTGTTTCAGCCACAGGTCAGGTGGGGTCAATATAGTGTAGTCGTCCTGATTATCACATTCACTCACTCACTCACTCAAGTCCGCATGCTCCTAGAAGCGTGGCGCCCCGGCAAACTGTCCTCCAAGCACTTCTGTTCTGCGCCGCTGCCCAGGCTGTAGTTAGGTTGTAGCCCGCTGCTCTCAGGTCTGATGACAGGACATCCAGCCACTTCTGTCTGGGCCTGCCCCGGGGTCGGGTCCAGTTAGTAGGTGTGGGTTCCAGCAGTAGTCTGGCTGGTTCTGAGGGCGGAGATGATCTGGCGAGGTGGCCGAAGAGTCGGAGGCGGGCAGCTCGAATCTTCTGGGAGACTGGAGGCTGGTTTGTTGACCGGCGTAGGGCGATGTTGGTCACACGGTCATACCACCTAATCCCCAGAATCCTGCGCAAACATTTGGCATCGAAAGCATCTAAGTGCCGCTCCTGTGTGGACGTCAGAGTCCATGCTTCAGCACCATACAACAGGATGGAGAGGACTAGGCTGTTGTAGAGCCTGAGCTTGGTATGCACTGACAGCCGTCTGTCGGACCAGATCTTACTGAGGTTGG